CAGATCAAGAGAGAGAAAGTGTAGTAATGTAATCAGGAGAGGATATGAGGTACCTTGGTCCCCTTTTATAGGGGGAGTATACCTTTTGGGCCCCAGTTGGGCTTGACCGCTATCGTTGGGCTTAGATGTCTTAGTGGGTTTATCCTCCAATATATATCCGCTTTATCCATTAAACCGGGTCCAGTATAATATCCTATATCAAGTTTTAATTTAGTTGGGCAAAGGTTTGGTCGGTACAGACGCACAATTGCTAGTGAAAAAACTGCACATTAGTGCTAGATATATTGCACATTAATATGTGGAAAAACGCACATTAGCCATCAAAACTGAAATAATTATAATTTTTCTCCGGATTGTATTCTGATTATTTTTTAATTTTCAGTTAGTTCGACTTCGATAATTTCTAGGGCTGAGCACGAGACTTGGAGAATTCCGAACCGTTCCGAAAACTGAACCGAAATTACTCCAAACCGAAAAATAACCGTTGACTGTTTTACTTTCTCCGAACGGAAAAAATAATTGGTACGGTTCTGGAGATTTCACAAATATCCGTACCGAGAACCGAACTGAACCATCCCATACCGTACCGAATCGAAGAACCGAAACTAAGAACCGAATTATAACATTAGATGTGTTATTAATGTGTTTTATGTCAACTTTGATCTTATATAATATAGTAATAACTATTAACCTTCACTTAAATTTCATGCTTAGTAATATTTGATCTAGAATTTTTTTATCATAAAATAATTATTTAAAATAATATGAAAAGTTAAGGAATATTTTATTAGTTGCACAAATATTTTATTAAAATAATTATTTGAATTTTAAATTTTCAATATTAGTTGCACAAAATTTAGTCTTAACTAAAATTTAGAGTTACCTTTAAATCAAAATAAAATCTTTAATATGAGAAGTATTGATGAATGTTGGTTTTATTAAAGCATATAAAAATTATATAAATAAAATTCAGAGTTACTTCTAAAATTGATTTCAAAATAAAATCTTTAATAAGATGAAGTATTGATGCATGTTGTTTTTTTAAGCATATAAAAATTAAAATATAACTAGGTAGTCACTCAAAAAAATAATAATAATAATAATAATAAGAAATCTCCAAAGATCCGAACCAAACCATACCAAACCAAACCATCCCAACAGTCCCGAATACCGAACTGAACCGAACCGAAAAATAAAAATATCCGAACCGAACCGAACCGACCTTATGGTACGGTTCCGGAGATTTATCAATCTCTGAACCGTACCGACCCACGCTCACCCCTAATAATTTCGACTTAAATATTATTTCGGTATTTTTTAAATTTATATATTCAATGATTTTCATCAAAATAATAACCGAGCTATGAAAATTTTATTATTACGATTTATATATTTTATGTATGTATTGCGATTGCACGCTATGATTATATGAACTGCACATTAATGAGTATATGATTGCACAATACCAAAAACCAACCAAAACTAAAAATTCAATTTAAAATTTTATATTTCAGTTCAATTATTATTTTTATATTTTTAAAATCTCAGTTATTTTGATTTTTTATGTCACCTTTATTTTCTTAAAATAATTGAAATAATCGAACTCTATGAAAATTACTATTATTATTATTTATATTCTGTGTATTGTGAGTGCACTTTATTTGTTGTTATTGTGCACTTTATGTATTTTACACATGAAATATAGTGTATATATTAATTTTTTTATAATTGCATATAAGTCCTTGCACCCTATTTAATTCATAAAATTGAGCCCATCCCCAATCTATTATTATATAAAGAGGTGAGCCAAAAAATCCTTAAAGAGTAACTAAAAAATAATTCAACTTACCGCCAAAAATTTTATTAGATATACTAACTTTCTTTTTGAAATTTTTCATTTGCCAAAAAATTGAAATTCCCGTCCGGATTTTCATGAGCCAAAATCTATGGACTCTTATCAGATTGTTGTGGGACTCTTATAGATAAGTATATGTATTTTTAAAATCTTATCATAGTTTCATTGACTCTTATCAATAACTCACACTATTAATATAAATAATAGAATAGATAATAGATAGATAATAGAATTGGGTTTTCATCACTGGCGGAATAACGTGAGGGTTTTCACAACACGTCCAACTTTTAGAATGGATCGGTCGCCGGGCCTTATCAGAGATATAAGGAGAAGTAAGAGACATATCATGAAGCTTCGGGCCATCTGCATTTTCAAACGAAATTTCAACACATTGGAAATAGTGTTTCATGATATTGAGGTTTGATTTTTTACTTTACCCATTACAAATTATTATATGTAATTATTCAGAAATTTCGTTGACATTTTATTCTTTGTTAAATCTATAGGGTGCCCGCATAGCCGGTGTGATTCGAGGATTTAACTTACCCCTAGGGGACAAGTTTGAAGAGGGCAAAGTGTACATCATTCGAAATTACCGAGTTGAATCTAATATTGGTAACTATAGATCGACATGTGCGCCTTATAAAATGATTATTTACGGCAAAACTGACGTATTGGAGTGCTATGTCAACTTTCCAATGTTCCGATTTGATTTTCGCAATTTTGTCACCCTTCAAGATTGTCACAATTTGGATGAGTCTGTTTTGTTTGGTAAGTGTACATGCATTTAATTGAACAATCAAACTTATTTTTCTTATATCTATATTGAAGTCATCTAACAAATTAACATCAATTTTAGATGTCATTGGAATGGTATTTGATGTACACTGCGTTCAGACAGTTATTCTTCATGGAGAAGTGACTCAAATAATCCACTTCTCTTTAATGGATGCTGCGTAAGTAATTTTCTTTTTTTAAATATCTAATTACAACAACATTTGTATGAAATAGTATGTTACAGCACACATGGAACATCATTTATAGTTTATTGTCTAATTTGCGTAAGTAATTGCATGGAGAACAAGATTTTTTTTTTCAAATTACAACACAATTTTTTTTTTTTCGTAAGTAATTATTTTTTTTTCCTTTTTTACTACAACACAATTAGTTATTGCATTTTTTTTTCGTAATTAGTTATTGCAGCACAACACAATTCTTAGTTATTGCATTTTTTTTCGTAAGTAACTAATTGCAGCACAATTAGTTATTGCATTTTTTTTCCTTTTTTTTTTTCGCAATACAAAACAATTCTTTTTATGGATACATGAAAAGTTGTAATTTGCTATTATGCATTCATTTTATCTCTTTTTTTTGTCGAACTACACACAAATTTTTAAGAAAAATTTTTAACAATTTTTTTATATGTCAAATTACAGTGGCATTGCTATAACTTGCACCCTTTGG